TTGAGCGGGTAGGGCTGGGGTTGCGCCAGCCCATGGCGCTTCCCGAATCCCCAGCCCCACTCCCCACCGACCGCCACGCGTCCGCGAAGTCGCACGGTCGTGCGGACGCGTCCGCGCCGGGATCTTGGACTCAGCCGTGGCTGCGGACTCGGCCACGCTTGTCCGCCGCCGAATGGGATTCATAGATTCTACGGAACTTACCAGAGCAAGGATGGAATTAGCAGCACTTCAGCACAAGTTGAGAAATTGGGCTTTGTATCAGGCCCCGTCACCTACCTGGAACAGGTGGCGGCCCAACGACCTTCCCATGAACAAGCACCAGGACCATCGGTGGCAAGAACACCTGCTCAGACCCCTGCGCCAGCGGGTAAAGCAGACGCCTCAAACGTAATCCTGGACCTCATACGAACGGTAGTTAACCTCTTGCAGGAAAGCAAGAAGGAGCAACGCGAGTATAATACCCGCATGGAGTCGCTGATGCGCTCCATGCGCCCCATTAATGTTCGCGCCACCCCGTCCCCTACCGGAGCCCCTATTGCAGCAGTAGCAGCAGGAGCGGGCGTAGGTACGGCCCTGAGAACGGACACGTGTTACGCATGTCACCAGCCTGGAGATATGGCAATGGACTGCCCCCAGAGGCAAGTACGGATAGGAGCAGCCCCTGTCGCGGCAGCACCCCTGGCTAACGGACCAGGCCGAGTGAGAACGATGGTGGAAGAGACCGATGGAGCGATGGCCACTTCTGCCATGGTCGAAGAAGCCAGAGAGCGGATCCCCCTTGATCAATTTATACCATTAGGATATCCAGGACTGGGTACGATCGGGGCAATTCAACCGGCAGACGACGAACGAGAAATCCCGGAATGGAGACCATCCTCCAGTGAGATGGAATCCGGCGGCCCTACGTTCATCACTGGAAAAATCAATGTACTCGACATCGTTCGAGCGCTAGATCACCGCATCCAACTCCAAGTCGGATATCTGCTATCCATATTGAAACAAGTTAATGATCGTATGCTCCAGCATTGCAAGGCTAACCGAAGACGATTCGCACTTGCCAAACTGGCAACAGTCAAAGGGAAATCCCCGTTCAAGAAACGAAAATAGACGTACCCGGAACCTCGGAACCCGTGCTCCTACGACTTACACAGAAAAGCGATCACTTTTTACGCATTAAAACCATTTCGTGGAAATCTACGGAATGTGACGTGGAAATCTGGGGAGTGTCGTATAGCGCGATCATCGATTCCAAAGTAGCCGTGTTGGTCATATCCTTCACAGCTATGAATCCCCCGCGTCCGCGATCACCGCGGGCACGACCGCAGGCCCGCGGTCATGACCACATTCCGCGGTCAAAGAAAAAAATAAAAATAAAAAAAAATCAGAAAAATATGAAAACAATCCTACCCCTTAAGCGCGGTGGGCCCGAGGGGGGAGGTCGTGTTCCGCTGCACGCCGGAATCGGGCCGAACTTTTGATTTGACCCGGTGGATAAGGGCAATCGAGGGCGCGGCGGTGTGCAGAGCGGTGCGCGTACCGAATTGTTCACAGCGCGCCAGAGATTGAAAGAGTGCGCCCACAGGGCCGCGCGGCGGCGGGYGTCGATAGGAGGGAATATCTCGGAGCTCCCGCCGTCAGATAGAGTTTTTCTTTTACCTTTTGTTTTTCAGTTGCTGTTGTTTACTTTTTGTTTCGCTTGCTTTTGTTTTATTTTTTTCTTTTTGTTTCGCTCGCTTTTGTTTGCGCATTTGCCTCGTCGTTTCTTTTTTTTTTTCCTTTTCTCTTTTGTTTTTCGGTCGCTCGCCGCGTCGTTTTCTCCTTTTCTCTTTTGTTTTTCGGTCGTTCGCGGCGTCGTTTTCTTTTTCTTTTTGCTTGCTTTTCTTTTCCTTTTTTCATTTCGTTTTGTTTTGTTTTCTTTTCTTTTTTGCTCGCTTTTCCGCGTCGTTTTCTCCTTTTCTTTTTTGTTTTTCGGTCACTCGTGGCATGGTTTTCTTTTCCTTTTTGCTTGCTTTTCTTTTCCTTTTTTCATTTCTTTTTCTTTTTTTTCTTTTCTTTTTTGCTACCTTTTCCGCGTCGTTTTCTTTTTATTTTTTCATTTCTTTTTGTTTTCTTTTATTTTCTTTTTTGCTCACTTTTTTGCGTCGTTTTCTTTTTCTTTTTTCATTTCTTTTTGTGTTCTTTACGAGGCGGAAACGAAAAAGAAAAGACAGCCCCCACCAAGACCCATGCCCGCCCACCCACCCACCCAACCTCGCTCCCCCTCCCGCCCGCCCGCCCGCCCGCCTGCCAGCACTTACCCACCCCCCCGCCCACCCTCGCCCGCACCCACCCACCCACGCACGCATGCCTGCCCGTCCGCCTTCCCGCACCCACACACACACATTCACCCACCCCCACCCACCCACGCCCACAAACACACACTATATACATATATTAGTAAGTATTCCAAGTTCGGTTGCAGTGGTCGGGTACACACGCATATACGAAACGACACAACACAACAACGCGACAACACTCCTAGTCCTTTCAGTAGCCGTCCCATAACTTTTCGATGTGGAAATTGGATAGGCATCGCGCGCGAGACTTAGTATAAAACCGCGCGGACGCAGGGCTAACTCATATCGACTTGCAATGCAAGCGCACGCAGGCAGTCACAATGACGACGTATAATGTAGTACCCATACTCATGCGGTCCTCGTTTATCTCGAGGGTCGCATTCGATACTCAAGTGTCGGCTGACACGCGCCTTGAGGGTTCATCTCTCGACGCTGGACAACCGCCATGCGTGGTTGAATACCACACACCTTCTTCTGCACTCTGTGCAGAGTGGGTGGTACACAGGTCCATACCTGTGGTGGTAGTCGTTCCTTGCTGCCCTGAAGATGAGTCTCACTCCAGGCCTGGACGAAAGTTGAGGGGTTTGACTTTGACGGCTGTTACGGACTACAACGTCTAACTATAAAAATTAATAAGCAAAATCAATGAATGAAATAAACAAGCACTCCAGCACTCACATATGAAATCAGGACTTGGGATAACCAACAAAAGGAGGGGGAAACATAAACCCATCAGGTATGCACATCGTGCGACACATGGTTGTCATTCTCACTGCCTCCAAAGTATGGCTCATATATCAAGCTCCTAAATACTAACCTGCATAAAACACAGACACACACAATAGCCACATTGCCATACACCAATGTGGTCAACTTTACTATTCTCTGTAACTCACATCATGCCGCATACACTCAAACCCCAGTCATAATTCAATTTTCCATAATCTCATAAGTTCTTTGTAATGGTCATTTAAAAGAAGTTCGGTTAAAACCCTCAAAGAAACATATCAAATCACAGGGTTAAGGCAGTCAAGTTGAGGTACAGGTGTAAGCAAAGTTGCGTCGTGAGCCGATAAGTCGGCGATCAACCAACCGACCTGTTATCAGTGATAACAGAAAATGATCCTCGCAGGATCAAGCTGAAACTAGTATAAATCATGAGTCAAATTATCAAAAGGACCTGTAACACAAGACAGGTCAACGCCCCAAGCTAAGACCATAGGCCCCCGGAAAATAATCCCCATACCACAGTCTCTCTCAGAGCCTCTTCTAATAGCTAAGCCTAAGTCTATCCCTAAGCCAGCGCCCAAAGAAAGGTAGACTCATGACATAATCTCCCCTATCCAGGGTGGATTACCAGAATCGCCGCATGTCGAAATATAATCTAACTCTTTTAAACTAAGAAAATTTCGGCAGCGCTTCCCGTAGGAAAAATGTCTTTCCAGAATTTATATAAGTCTTAATATAAAAGTAGAAATAATCTTTAACTCTGAAAGTTTATTTTTTGTCTAACTCCCTAAATTAGTAAAAAATTGGGTAGCACTCCCTATAGAAAAGGAGACTTTCAAGATTTTTACTAGGTCAGATATAAAGAAAAGTTAAGTTGAACTTTGACAAGTCAAGAATCGACTAACTCCTTGGATTTGTAGAAATTTTGGCATCGCTTCCCGTAGAGAAAGTAGCTTGCCAAGATTTATACAAAGCCAAGTATAACAAAAGATTCCAGAAAATACGAGAATTGATCTTAGTAAAAAAAACTTAGCTCAGAAAATGCAGGAATTAAAACTAACTCTTATAGCTCTAGCACCTGGTGAGCGACTAAAGCAACTATCTATCAAACTCAGACCAAGTAGTAACCTCACTCAGCCACATGCAGGTCAAACCACATAGGTAAGTACTCTCGTCATCTTAGGTCAATCTGAACAAACAATAGATCATAGTCTCTCAATGATTTAGCCCTTTATACGCCTCTTACATAAGGCATGGGTCAGGCCACCTTAACTTACAGAGCGTGTCCAACTTAGCTAGGTCTAAAATAAGAATACCTAAATTTATAGAGCGTCATGACTTACCCAAGTATACACAAACAGAGGGCACAACTACTTTTCTCTTCCTTGGGCATATGATTAGACCACTCTAGTCGCCTTGAACTGTTTAAAGTATCTAAGTTATATATATTTGTCTTCACCTTTATCTTCTACGGCTGCAAATGACTGAACTAACTTAAGTTCAGTCTGCACAGTTTACCACCAGTTTTATTCTTGGTTATACTCCCTTCAAGTTGTGATACGGCTATAGTCAGACCACCTAAACTTATAGAACAGTCTGATTAGCTCATTCTTAGATAGCATAGTAGTAAAGTATAGCCAAGTCATAACCATTGGGTTCCTCCATGTGCGAGGCTTTGAGCCAGACCCCTGAACTTACAGAAGGATCTAACTCTCTGCCAATTTCTTTTCTCTCTGAATCATCATGTGTGTGGCATCGAGTTAGATCCCCTAAACTTACAGAAGGATCTGCCCCTTTGCCAAGGTTATTTCTTCAGAATAAAGAGCAGGAAGAGGCTGAGCCACCTAAACTGATAGAACAACTCAGATCTCCTCGCTTCAGAAACCAAAGAAACAGATGAAACCCCACTGAAAACAAGGCAACCCAAGGCACCAAAACTTATTGAGCGCCCTGAGTCCCTGAAAATCAAGCGCAATCAAACCCCTCAGAGGTCAGAGCAGTCAGGTCACCTGAACTTACAGAACAGTCTTACCCTGCATGCAAGCCATAGTACCGGGTCTCCCAAACTTATGGGGACATCCCAGCCTCCAGAGCAATCAGACCCCCTAAACTTATAGAAGGGTCTGACGCTCCATGCAAACCAAAATAAAACAAAGCACTGGGTCTCCCCAAACTTATGGGGACATCCCAGCCTCCAGAGCAATCAGACCCCCTAAACTTATAGAAGGGTCTGACGCTCCATGCAAACCAAAATAAACAAGGCACTGGGTCTCCCAAAACTTATGGGGATTTCCTTGCCT